ATATATAACATGAAAGTGTTCATGAAACTCACTGGATCAAGAAAATTATGTATCAACTCAACTGCAGTCATTAACACAATTCCACAATCCTTTGATGATTCAATTCGACCCGTTGATGTTTGGGGAGGTAGAACTTGATTTGAAAATTTTCTTCCATAAATCTCTCGATAAATAAAACACCGCCTATCACTTGATGAATCTACCCAAAAAGGATCATTCATCTTCCAAAGTTCAACCATTTCATTCATAGAAGCAACAACAGTCTCAAACATAATTTTTTGCTGCCTACTATGCTGATTACATTCATCATGTTCTTGTGGTGATTGAGAGATCATTGAATGTGCATGAACATTATTAGTATTTTGATTGTTTTCTTGACGAAGAGGAGGATATCTAATGGGAGATCCGCATGTGTCTTTGTTCAACAAACTTCCATCAGATGAATTTGAAGGTGATCCAAGAGTCGATATTTGTGGTGCCAAATTTGAATCCATCACAAAAGGTCTTCCAAAAACATGTGAGATGATATTTGATACTTTTTCATCCTGAAAAAATAAAATTTTAAGTTAATTTACATAAATAATAGGTACGTATTAAAATAAACTTATTTGAGAAGTGTATAATTTGCTATTAGTGTATATAATTTAAATTCTTTCAATCAATTAATTGATTGTGAGATCAAGATTATCCCTCTTGTCAAGGGAGGGTGCAACTCATATGCACGGGGCGGAAACAAATCCAAGATATAATTTAACACATTTAACACTAGTGTAAATCTTATTAAAAAGAGAATCACTTTGTTTAACATACTATCAAAACCCTAACAAGGTTTGAGCTCATCTATCCCTAAGACCTTTTGTTAGGGAAAGATGAATCTTATCCATACTATCACAACCCTTGGTAGTAGGATTCCAAAGATTAATTGTTGTATTTATAAAATTATCGATCCAGAGATAATATTATTTGATCTGACTCCTTCATTTTTTATTATAAGATATGTTCTAATACCTTAAATTCTGAATTAATCCATCAAGTTCAAACCATGAATTTGCCTCGTCTTTGTTGTATATAAGTTATTCTTTTAAGGATAAATAGAAAAATTAACATAAAAAATAAAATAAATAGGATAAATAGAAGGTTGAATAACTTGTTATGTCAACTATTGATTTTCTGTTTTCATATTTTCTAAATTACGTTCTCTTTCTTCTTTTCCAATAGGAAGTCCATCACATTTTGGACACATAATATTCTTCATTGCCTCTTTCATTGCCTTATATTCACAAAGATTTTTTTTTTCCGAAGAGCATTGTTAATGGATGTCTCAATTTTAGTCTGATGAAATATATAAAACAAAATTAATCACATATCGAATAACAATAAAAACTTAATATAACATATAGGTAACTAAATAATTGTACAAATAATTATTATGTTAAATTTTCACTCTTCTCAAATAAAGGATCAATAGTTCAAATTCCAATAATTTGAGGATTTATGTATCAGAATTAGAATATTATAATAATTGAAGGACGAAAAATGGTACTTAGCCTTTTTATAATGCTTGAAAAATATTTTTTCCATTCATCTTTGCTTAAAAGATCAAAATTCCATTCTAATTTGAATCACATACACATTCTTCCTTGTATAAGAAATATATTTTAAAGAATTTTTACATTAGGTGAAAAAATTAATCCATGAAAATTTAGTTTACTCAACTTCCCTAAATTTAACTAGAAGTTCTGAACCACATATTATCTGAATTACTACTACTACCCATAGCTCCCACAACTAAAAACTTCTCTATGATATCAAGAGTACTGATCATATTCAACTTCACCATTTTATCCTCGGTTTGTTACCTAGTATCCTCTTCTTTCTCTCCCTTACAATCAGAAATCCAACAGATGGAGTTAGTGTTAGGTCGTTAAATTCTTACTCGGGATAACCAACAGTCTTTATGAAGAACTTTATGTTCCTTCCTAAGAAGCAAATAGTCTATATGAGTTTTATCTACCGTGCTATGGAAGGTGACCAAGTTCTCCCCCACCTTCAAGAAACTTTAATTGAATACCACCAACCCAAAAGCTATTGAAAAATTCATAAGTGAGACTCATCCGCATTCTTGTCCCTGAAATTGAAGCCTCCATACTAATCACTACACCCCATTGTAGTAGACTCAATGTGACCATTGAAATCTCCTTCTATGAATAACTTCTTTGTATTTGAAACACCTCCACCCACCTCGTCCAATTCCTCCCAAAAAGTCTTCTAGTCCTCCTTGTCCAAGACAATTTGCAGAGCGTAAGCACCAATAATGTTCAAACTGGAATCTCCAATTAGTAACTTAATCATCATCATCCTATCATCGATCCTCCTTACCTCAATCACTTCCTCCCTAAGCTCACAATCCGCTAGGATGCCTACTTTATTCCTAATCGTTACACCTTTCGAGTATCACAACTTATACTTATCCATATCACATTCCTTCTATCCTTCTTATTTGGTTTCCTGGATACTAGTTATCCTTCTCTTTTTGAGAATCTTCACTAGCTCTATGAAATTTCCTATCAAAGACCATACTCTTATTCTAGATGTGATAAATATAGTCATGTTATGGAAATAACATTGTTTGGTAATTGAACAACTAACGAGAAAAATTATTTTTTGATAGAAGTTGAAAAATTGGGTTGTGGTCTATTTTAAGCCCAACCCAACCCAAATAATTTATTCATCCGCTCATTTATATATACAAATTATTTTGATTAGCCTGAACTTCATTAAATTGTTCCATTTAATATTTCAAGATTTCCTTCATTCATCAAGTAATCTTGAAAAGAAAATCATTAGTTTTGAGTGGCAAAGCCAAATTTTTCTGACTTTAAATTCTCAAAACCCAAAAGGGATTCAATTTTTTGTCCATTTTGTAATTCCTTGCTAATTAGTGAACTTGCTAGGGAGTTCATGCACTTTGAATTATTTAGAATTCTTGTATTATTGATTTTATTAAGCAACAACTTAATTGACTTAGAGGTTAGATAATGAAAATAATTTAAATGAAAAGTAATTTATTTATTAAAGTTCATATATTGATGAGAGAACATACTTTCAAATTTATTGATCAATTCAACATGGAAAATCAAATTAGTGATTTAGGAAAACTATGTAGAAGTTGAAAAGTGAAATCATCAAGAATGGAATTTATTGTACGCGACCCGAGGGGTTGGTTATAGTGGAAGTAAATAACTTGATTATAACGAGGAATAAATTATCTTATTTATTTACACATCCTAACAACTTAACCAAATATAGAGAAACAATTTACCAATAGATCACTGCTTTCATTAAATTATTTCAACTTTTGTCATTACTTTTTCTAGATTTTTTAAAATTTTAATGAAAAAAATATATATTAATTTGTTGTTGTGTGTAAACAACAACAAAAACAACAATAATATCCAATAAAGTAAGTACAATTGACAATATATAAAAGAATTAAATAATCAAAAGTACCTTTGCTTGAGCCCTTCTGTTTTGGAACCAAAGCTTGACTGCTTATGGTGAAGCCCTGCTTCGCTACCCAATTGTTTTTGTTGATCCTCATCTGGATGCGGGCATTTCTTGAAGAATCTTCATTCAAAAATTCATGAAGAGAAAATATTATTGATCATTTATTAAAAAAATAAACCAAAAAAAGAAAATAACAAAAAAAATATCATAAATACATGGTCGATTAACAAGTATTTCTCCACCATTAATCAGGTCTTAAGTTCAAGCATTGGAACTAAAACTTTTGTAAGGAACGTTTGACCATAAAATGGGACTTGATTCCACACTTCAATTTGAATTTGTCGGGCCGTAGATCAACTACCAGATACTCACTAATGCTTGAGGAGTAGTAAGTACTCTTTTATCGTTAACTAGAAGCCTCGTGTTGAGTCATGGGACAAGAGTTGTCACCATTGATTGGGAGGGGTTTAGCCCCCCCCCCCCCCCAATGTGAGACTTTGTGAGGCAAATCTGAAATAAGCAGATCATAAAGTTTGATTTTTCAATGCAAATCTAGATTACGGTCCCAAAAGATAGATTTTTTACGTGATCTAGATTAGCTGGGCCCTAAAATGAAATTTCTCGACACAAAGTTAAATTATTCATACCTCAAAAGGGGTATCTAACAGAATGGAAAATAGATTATTTGTGTTTTTGGTGCAAAAATTAGAAAGACATTGAACTTAAACGAACTCATCTTATTATGCTAAAGTCATAAAGAATAAACAAGTTCATTTATAATGATGTATATATAACAGATTAATCATCAAAATAAATTATTTCAAAACTATTTTAGCAACTAAACAAAAGAAAAGAGGAAATGTGAAATCAAAAGTACAAATCTTTTATTAAATATAGTGGAAATGTGGGGAACAAAAATAAAACCAAAAGAGAAATCAATCAAAATAAATAAATATCAATTGATGCACAAAAAATACATACAAAAAGAAAATCAAATATTCTATCACTAATGAAATTTAATTTTACCACTGATAATTTAATTTTACCACTGATGCAGTTTAAAAAAATAACATCATCTCTTTGAACAAACGAAAAAATTGAACAGATATATCCGAAGGATCATATTTTTTTTTTAAAAAAAGTTGATCTTACGCATCAAGTCTTTGAATTTGTTCCATAGAATGTTTGTGGTATTGTCCATGCCTTTCAGATTTTTTTTGCGAATGTGATGATTCTCCAGCAGGTTCTTCCACAGAATCTGTCATATTTTTGGATAATTTTCTGTTTGATACAACAAAATAACAAAAGAAACACAAAACCAAGTGATAATCTATTTCATTTACTATGTAAACAATTAATTTATATAAGAAACAACTAAAATAGAACAAAAAAAAGAAAATAAAAGAGAATTTTTTTTACACACACACACACACACACACACACACATATATATAACATTTATTAAGTTTCTTATTTTTCTAATCTAAATTTTAAATTATTAATTTTTAATTTTCAAATTTAATATAACTTTATGGTTGCATTTGCACATCCAAACAATACATGTGTAATTATAGTTTAATTCCACTGTGGCAAATAAGCAAGTCGATGTCATTACAAGGTTGTATAATTATTATGTTGATATTTTCTATCCTAATAATTACATCAATTCTTTCAAATAGACCAAAAGCGTAAAGAGTGAAGATAAGATAGGAATTTGAATTTGTTTTGGTTTTCTCTCTTAAAAGACTTGGTTTGATATAAGTAGATATGGTAAGTAATTTATAAATTCTATATTTAAATTGCAAGTTAATTCCTCATATGGACATTTGAGAACAATTTTTTCCTTTAAATCACATAATTATTTTTCTAATAGTAAAATCACAATTTTTAAAACAATTTTTTAAATATTTAATCTAATATCTAACAAACTCAATTAAAAGAGGATAGACAACACTTGTCCCCTGAAGAATTAAGAAAAAATGACATGGAATATACCTCTCAAATTCAAAATTTAGAGTTGATATACCATTTGTTACAAAAGTGACTCGTATATACTCCTATTATTTCATAAATAGCTCAAATATATCATATTTATCTAATGGGAGTGAAAAAAATAATTAAATTTATTTTATTTTTTTGATATATAATTAAAAACTAGAATCTATATAGGTATATTTGATTTGTTCGCAAAGTTAAGAGGTATAGTTGATCTTTCTCAACTATGAGTTTTTTTTCTACGTTCTTTAATTCAATGAATATTTAAATTTTACTATCTTAACTAGGTAATTTTTCGACGCTTCCTTCGGTCATAAATAATAATTGCATTGAACTTGCAAATAATATTTTACTAATATCCATACATTAAAAATAATAGAAAAATTAATTCTTAAAAAAATATTAGCAATATTCCAACATGAATTTGATTCTTTGTCATTATAACATAAGTCAAGAACCTCTAATGAATGAATTATTCACGATATAATAAATAATTGGTTCCTTAATTAACATGCAAAGGAAAATAAAGAAGAAAATATGCATATATATACAAAGGCATTTCGTAATGAAAAGAAACATTTAAGTTGTACAGATTATACTATTGTGATATATGTCCAAACAGAATTCAACATTTTGTTAACATATTGAAAAAAGAAATTATGCTTACACATGAAAACAAGTATATCTTTTGAACATGCATAATGAATTTCTTCAATTGATAAGTTAGAAATTTCATATTTATGTAGGAAAAGATAATATGTAAACTCATACATAGTACTTTTACAATACTTATTTTTTGTACAATAAATATACGTACTATATATGTATATATTCAATATAACCGGAGAAAATACCTTTGCATAAACATAAAAAAAAATTAAAATAGGTACTCAAAAACAACAATTAATATCATAAACATAAACAAAAGAGTGTAAAAAACATACCTGGATATGTATAAATAGAATAAAATATAAAGAAAAAAATCGAGTCCACTGAATACACAATGTCACCTTAAGAAAACTATTCCCCTCCAATACAAGAGGTTTAAAGAATTATATCCTCTCAGGATGAAATAATTTTATTCACCAACTAGTGGTATTAGTAAATCATTCAAATGGAACAAAGTACAAAATTAATTTCGCAAGAAGTAGAAGAAAAAGATCAGAAATTTTTGTTGTTTTAAAATGAGAGGCAATCTTTCTATTTATTGACAACAAAGTATATTGTGAACAAATGTTTATTGTGCCTTATCAAAAAGGTTACAACTATTTGAAAAACTTTCAATCCCTCGAAAACTTAGCAACCTTTAATAAAAGTCACAAATTTTCATTAAAGTCACACCCTTTCATAAAAGTCACAACTTTTGATACAAGTCACAACTCTTCATTAAAGTTGTAACTTCCATAAATGTCACGTCTTTTCATCAAATATGAAGGCTAGTTTTGAAAATAAATAAATTTAAAAGAAAATTATTGCTTGTAGTGGCGCCACGTAGGCAGACCTTGGGTTCTCTTTTATATATAGAAAATTATTGCTTGTGGTGGCGGGCCTGGGGTTCTCTTTTATAGAAATATATGATATGATGATGATCAAATTTATTTCTACACTCATTTTCTTATAAAATTTATTATTGACCCCCTCCCCCTCCCCCACCCTTTTTTTTCAAATAAAATAACTTACAATGTAGCCTCAAAAGCAAAATCTTGAGTTATATTGTTCTTTTTCCATTCACGTTTCTTCATTTATATTTCTCGTATTTTCACACTAAAAATTAAAGGGAAAAGGATCGGATATAACCCTCAACTTTAACTTTTATAGCTAATATATACCTTGTTTCAAAAGTCACTCACATATACTCTAAGCATTACACAAATGACTCAGACATGAAAATTTTGTGAATTTAAGGGATACATTGGAATGGAGTGATAAGTAAAACGTATCGCGAAAAATTAAGTGTCATAAAAAATGAAAAGTATTTAAAAATATATGGAAGATATCTGAATAGTAGAGAATTTTGGGCTCATTTTAGGCTTTTAGTATACCAAAAGTAATGTTCTCAATGTCTATTTACAACTTATTCTGATCAAATGTATTTGTATTTCAATTATGAGACCGTAAAGAGATCAAAACCAGCCAAAAAACATAAGGAAATATGCAAAGTCGACAGTGAGTGTCACCTAAGTTGACTCGGTACATCGCGGAAAATTACAGTTCTTAACCCTCAAGTTCATCTCAGTTTGGAAATATCAGGGAGAAGTTGGCGCATCGTCAATGTGATTCGGCGATGGTCATTGGTGTCGTAAAATGTAACATGAAAAGAAAGAAAAATTAAAGTTGGAAAGTCTGAGTGGCGGTGAACTCTACCATTTAGCCTGTATCCCCACCTACTTGGCTGTCTCGGATTAGTTATGTGAAATAACACTGAAATGATCCATCTCGATCATTACGATAGGTCAATTGTTAAAGAATTTGGGTTGAAAGTTTACGGATAGTTTCTCAAGAATTTTAGGCTAGGTCAACCTAGAAAGAAATATGGACTAGGTGCACTCTACGACCATCTGATAATGAGTGGGGTTAAGTGCATGGGCTTTGTAAAAGAATTCTTGTAGCCAAGACAATAAGGAACCCGTAGGGCTTCAAAAGTGATTGTAGTTCTATGTATTAATTTGTTTTATTCTAATGTAGTCAATTGGTTACACTCATATCTTGGACGGACCGTATAATCCTACTAATGGTTTATATTGGAAAAATATTATTTTATATATCTCAAAAAGAATCATTTTATATCCTATTATATTTTGAAGAGAATATATTTTTATGTCCTAAATATTTTCCCTCCATAAATAGCTTTTGATTGACCATTACTCCTAATCCAAATATACGTTTGTCTCAATCTTATTAATCATTCTTGAATAAGTAAATAAGGAGAAGACCGTTTTTTAACCAAAATTAATTGCTCATTTTGCCACAATGTTGTTGTTGGAATATGTGCGTCCACTACCAGTCAACGGACCAGGTCCCTTGACACAACAAGAACAGTGCGTAAGATTAAACAATATGAAGAACACGACACAAACAGTTTACGTGGAAACCTCCTTGCTCAAGGGAGTAAAACCACGACCTGTTGCACAAGATTTACAACCGTCTTCACTAATCTCCTCAAGCAAAAGTGAAACCTGGTTACAATCAATGTGAGAAAAAGTTATTAATCTCACAATCAAGTAATCTACCTATTACTTGAAGAGCCTAAGCGGATACAACACCGCCTTCTAAACCACCTAACCCTAGATGACTTAGAATTTGACTAAGCAACAAACAAATGTTGCCCACTAAATCAGTTAACCTTAACTGATTTAGACTTTTACAAACCCAAAACAAATATTTGAATCCTTTATAGATTAGGAACAGATTTACAATGTAAATATATAGACACAAAACTCTAAATACAACAAAGATTCTTTTTTTTACTCTATCAGGTCCTTCTTTTAAGTTGAGCAATGTTCTTCCCTAAAGATGACCTTCTTTTCAAGCTTGTGATTTTCAGAGAAAATCCAAGCTTTATTTGCCAAGTCTTGAATTTGTGTTTTTTTGAAAGAGATAATATAATTTCCCACAAATTCATTGAAGTCATCCCATTGGCTGAAGGCCTGCTGTTGGAAAAGTTGTGCACTTACCGCATCACAGATGAAAACTTTTCTTAAAGTTGTCTTTTCATCCTTTTCACGTCGCAGTCTTGCAGGTACCAGGTCCCTTGCTTGCGGGTACCAGGTCCCTTGCTTGCGAAAACCAGGTCCCTTGCAAACTTCTATATGAGTTCTTGAAAAGGCTTGATGGCTGACTTCCTTCTTTGGATGAATGAATATAATATGGTGTTTGTCATGCTAAAAGTACCAAACATAAAGACTCGTTAGCCGTTGGACAAACACCCTCCTCCATTCTGATTGGTGTAGTACACTAACGCCTTACCAACCTCTGACTTGACAGCTTTACAGTTGTAACAAAGTATGTATCTGATGGAGGAAACTCTGCTGGTACCAGGTCCCTGCATTTGTGAGATACTGAAACATACAATCTCATCCACTCTTCTTTTTGGTGTAGGATACAACACTTTTTACCTACCACCTGACATGATAACTTTTATGACTGTACCCCATTTGTATCTGGACGAGGGCACTCTGCCAAGGACCAGGTCCCCGCATTTGATAGGATCAGAACAACACCTAGAATATAACATTTTCCCC